TTATCCAAGATGACCTAATTTTTTAATAACCCTAGGTGACAACCACTAGTTTTCACATTCGAGTGGAGGAATTTTGAACACCTTAATTTGGCCGCTTTGTAAGGTTTTCTTGCATCAACAGCCTAATAAAATTCACACCACAGCATCAGATCCGTAAAAGACACTTTTATTTCTTGAGCCACATAGGCTCAAAAGATACAAATCGTTTAAATTATACTTTAACAAAGAAATATTATAGCATCAAAAAATTCATTTTTTTATGTTTTTTTTCTGGGTTTTTTTTTTACTCCTTGACCTCTGAAATTATGTACATCTATATAAAAAAAATGCGTTTTTACCTTTAAGTAGATGCTAAGTTAAATGGAGAATATTACTTTAGTTTTTGCACAAATGGTAAATAAAAATTTTAAATATTTTGCAAGTTTGAAACAACAGGCATTTATTTCCGTCAACATTAATATAAAAATCACAGCTTCAGTATAAATAAAGCTTCAATAAACAGCTTTTATTTTCGTAGAAAATAAATACTATATACACATCAGTTATATTTTAACAACTGTTTTTTTTTGTGTGAAAAAACCGAAACATTTGACTTGCAAATTTTTAAAAACATCATTATGGTCAATAAAAACTGTGGTAAAACTGACTTTTATATCCCAGAATGCTATTTTTATGAAGACTGTTGTAAAACAAAAACAAAAAAACTTTAACTTATACTATCTTTGGGAACTAGTAACATAGGTTGTAGAAGCACTTAATAAGTGAGTGCTTTTTATCTTAGGAAAATTTACTCTAAATACAAAAATAGCTACATTTTTCCTGACTGGTCTTCTCTCGGATTTGCACTCTTGTTTTAGCAGTAAATATATCTCCATCAGGGATCAGTCCTACGTGAATGAAGTGTTTGCCAAAGGTTCCTGGGATCCTTGCACTCAGTGTGTATATCAATGGCACTAGTTTTACCTTTGATTTTTACACAAAGGGGTATATTTAGATGATTGGATATCTTATGAAAAAAAACATTAACAGTAGAAAATACGATATGTTTAAACGAGGGTAAATTCTCAGTGTCTGACATAGACTTCTACCATCACTCTACCTTTCCATTTCCTTTGATTCGTTCATCTTGATGTGCTTTTTTCCTCATCCCTTGATCTTGTCTGTCCGTCTGTAGCTATCAGGCAATAAAAACCTTCTAAGATCCCTTTAATCTGACTCCAAGGTGGCTCCTCCAAGGTTTGAACAACAGTTTAAAACTCAAAGGATCTTCCATTGTTGTGTTGGATCACAGCTTCTTTGGTTTTCTTGATTTAAGTCGTTGCTCCATCTTCAGCTGCTTCATCCTGTTGACAGAATGATTCACTCTTTAAATTATATCATCCCTTTGATGTTCGCCATCTCCACCGGCTCGCTGTAAATATTTAAAACTCTGTATAAAGTTGAAGCCTGATATTTACACGCACTGTATGTGACTCCAAAAGCCCTAGATGGATCCAAATTACCGTTTGCAAATGCAGTCGGGACAAACACCTTAATATTTGGAGGCATTTCCCGTTTGACGATAATGACCTTTATGTATCAAAGATAAAGCAAGGAGTTATTAAGCTTCAGAACACTATCGCTGCTTTGTTTTATAGAGTTAGAAGCATTATTCAATGTTTTTTATTGCAGGAGGGACCGGTGTAGCCTGACATAGTCCGACTCAATTCTAGTCAGAATATGAGTCTGATACTGCTCCATAGAGCTGTGATTATGGGGCGTGTTTCGAGAGAACCAGAAAAAAATGCCTCTGCACTCAATTGGATAGACCTACAACCAATAAGAACAACGGAGTGCGTGACGTATTGCGACGTTAAGCGACGCACAGTTGTTGTCAACAAAAATCAAAGCGTGCAGTTGCACGGCTAGACTAAGAAGATGAGCCTTGATCGCTTTTCTCTGTTCCTCTTTTAAAATTAATTTGCTGTCGATATCTTCTAGAACAGACCTTATAGCAGAATCTACTCACCCCAACTCTCCAGCCGCAGTCATTGTTGTTGTCGCCCAAGCGCGTTTTGGTCACGTGGTTGATTACGTTACTGTTGATCATCTGTCCATCATCGTATAAAGCCCGCCCTGACAATTTGATTGGCCCGTCAGATGTTGTGCGAGCATACTCGCGCTACTATTGAGCAATGCCAGACCGAACTTCCCGACCTCAAACGTTGTGGGCGGGGCTAAGTTCGGAATGGCACCCAGGGTAGGACCGGTGCGCTTCAAGCAAATAAACCGTTCTGTCAGGAGGAATGGGAATGGAAACTCAAAACATTGTACCCAAGTCATGCAGTCTAAAGGCTGGTTTATTGACATCGCATCAATTAGCATCCACCTTCTTCCACATGGTCTCTGTGAGCCCTGAATTTTCTGAATTGTGCAACTAAGAAGGTTTCTAATGATCAGTGGCATAGGCAGAAAGTTGAATTAAAAAAAAACTTCTTCAAAGGGTGGACCAATACGCACTGAGTGGTGGCTAAAAGTGGATTGTCGCCAGAACCAGTTCAGGGTCAATCTACTCTGGTAAAGCAATACCTGTATTTTCCAAATAAAGACAAATCAGTTTCTTGAATTTCTTTCTAATCAATAACAAAATCGATTTGTATCCATCCTGTGTAAATTAAAGGTATAGTGGATGATCTTTGTTTGACTTTGAGTTTTGTGAGGATCATCTTCTCTATTGGCTGTTGCTGTGCATGCTCACCTCTCATGTTTGTGCATGCACTTAGCTTTATTTGCCAGCTTCAGCTCTCAATGCATACTTTGAAAATGGAAGAGAGTCACAAGAAGCTAACAGTCTTATGTGTTGATGAGGAACAAAAGGAAGAATAAACAAATAAAAGTGTATTAAGGAAATTCTTGAATGCAGAGATGGAAGAACAGTTCGGACGGTCTTGTGCCTTTCCCCCTTATTCAAATAAGGACATGGGCGTTTCTTACCTATACTTCCAGAAATATTGTCCACTATTATTTTATCTACTTTTCTGCTGGAATAACAGTAAGATGGCGACCACAATGAAGTAGCGTTTTTTTTTAGGAATGCCCTTTCTTATGTCCTAAGTGAGATTGATCTAAGTTTAAAACCTCAACGATGGACAGCTTTAGTGTCATTTGTTTTTAAAAAGGTCCTTTTTGTTATCCTCGGCTTGACATGTTTCACAGATTACAATATAAAGTTTTTTAGGACTTTTTGCATCACACTAATAGATACCCTACAATCATATCTGATTGTGTGGTGACCAGATGTTCCTCATTGTGATTGATTTCACGCAATTCTGTCTAATTTCAGGCTTCACGAAAATGTTCAAGCATGAACCCACTTTACTGGACTTTAGAATCTATTTCTTTTTACATTTATTCAACAAAAATAGTTTAAGTAATCACAATTAACCTGGATGGGAGTGTTGGCCTAGTGGTAAGGGCATAGAGCTTGGAATCCTGAGGTTCTTAGTTCGAGCCGCACTCCAACAGACTTCCACTCTGTGTACCTGAGCAAGACCCTTAACCCCACACTGCTCCACGGCACCTCAGCCACAGTGGGCTGCCATCATGAGCTATCTCTGTAGTTATGCTGCTATAGGCTTAGATTTCTGGAGGACATAAGGACCCCTATTTCATCATTCTGCTTCATTCTATCTTTATTCTCCCACTCAGAATCTGTTAGTTTAATCTCTAACATTATGGTTTCTCTGCTTTTTCTCATAGTAGCTTTGCCTCGTCTGTACCTGTTTGGCTGTGACCCCATTCTGGAGAGAGATATCATCTGTGTTGCTGCCATCAACACCTTTGTTTATAAATTTTCGAGATTCTCCTGTTTTTCAGTCTAGTCCTGTTTCTCTGACTATGAGTGGCTGAATGTGCTTTCTTCATCCTCTGACATTAGTTGGCTCGTCTGCCTGGTTGTGTGTTTCCTGGACGGGGCCGCCTTTTACAGTTGCCTTCTGTATCTCTTCCTGTTCAAGGTTTCTTCCTGTTCAAAGGGAGTTTTTCCTCTCTACTGTTGCTACAAGCATGCTTAGTGTGAGGGATTGTGTTCAAGTCAATGAGTTGATGCAATCAACTGGTTTTCCTTAGATAGAAAACTTTGAATCAATTTGACTGTATGATCTGGTGAACTGTAAGGTGCCTTGAGATGACGTGTGTTGTAAACTGAATTGATGGCAGCCAACTGCTCCTCAAGGGGGTGGGTTAAATGCAGAGGTAAATTTATCCAATGTGAGATCAATAAAAGTTCAATTATATATTATAACCTAAAACAGAAAAATTTCAATCTGATTTGATCTCAAACAGATACGAAATTACAGAGAATAAGAATATTTTGGCTTTATCTGTATTTAGTCAGAAGAGAATGAATATGTATCCTGACTTCATTCTGTTGCTACAGATTGGTCTAAAAATTTAAGCAGTCACTCAACCGAGGTAACCTTTCTCTCCTGGATGTCTTGTCGGGGCGGTGCAGAGGACTTCACCCCTCCTGTCTGTCTTCTAAGACATTCCTACACCCTGATGTCACCGGCTGCCTCAGAGAGGGGATATTTATTGTCTAGGGGGTTGAGGTTTATCAGCTGTGGGAAAGACATTTAATGTCAGCATGCAGAGCTATGTGGCTCTTTGTACCGTCACACTGGACCATATCTCCACATTTGGAGTCAAGTCTGGGCTGGCCTTGAATGGAAGCTTTTGTTTTTTAGAGCCCACCTGCATGCTGCTTTGGCTGGAATGCTTTAACGTCTAGGAAGGTGTGATACACGTCTGTCTGCGTCTTTTTTGCACAGCTTCAGCTGTCAGGCTGTGTTGTGGTGCTTCTCCAGTCTGTGGTTTATTCCTTCAATTCCTCATGACACAGCTCACTGAAGTATGCTGCGGTTTAACCATTGTGCAATGCCAGTTAAACCCCAGTAAATAACCAATCAAGCATTTCAAGTTTGCTCAACTATGTTTCTTTTCTCTCTCTCTCTCTTCCTCAGACGTGAGCAGAGGTTCCCGTTTCCCTTTGCAAGCTCGTTGCCATGTCCGAACTAGCCGAGAGGCCCTCCACAGCCGGGCAGAGGCTAGGCGCACCGGAGAGCTTCGGGGTGTCCACCTTGGAGCCCGGCCTGCGTCCACCGGTCCAACCTCCAGGACGGCAGGTTTCTTTAAGGGTTCAGATGCTTGATGACACACAGGAAGTCTTCCAGATATCAGTGAGTCATGCATTTCCTTATGAACTAGAGTTCAAAAATACCATTTCATTCGAAAGAGGATTGTTGCATCTCAACCACCTCCCTGTATTTCAAGGGGATTTCACGTGATGGAGCAACACAGAGTCTGCATTCTGTATTCTAATAACCCTAAATGAAATCCCTCACAACCAAATTGGCTAAATAGGACATGAAAATGTGCTCTGTTCAGGCAGTAGCAAGTTTCTGGCTGACATGCTAAGCACCAAAACATAGTGGTGGCATTATTATGTTGTGGGGAGACTTTTCTTTAATGTGGATATAAATGCTGGTCAGAATTGGCTAAGATGGAAATGTTTAGATTAAAGGATATTAGTGTGTTAGAATGGCCTAATCAAAGCCAAATTGTAAATCCAACCTGCTGAAATATACAGAGCAGAATTTGCAAAGAGAAAAGGCTTGTAGAGACACACCAGCCAACATTTTTGATTAATTTTAAGCTCCGCTGTATGTTGATCTGTGGCAAACTGCAAAAACTGAAATATAAGCAAGTCAAAATTTCTTGATCTGAGCTGGTAAATAACAGACTTTTCAATGGCATGAGACAATTGATGTTTTAAAATAAGGAAAAAACTCCTCATTTATCTTATTTCAGATGCATAATATTTAAATATCTTGTTTCAAGAGCAAAAGTACTCATTTTATTAGCAGATCATCATAGTTATCTGCTCAAATTAAGGGCTAATAGACTTATTTCAACAACATTTAACTTATTTTGAGATCAGTTTGTACTAACAGTACATGGACGCTTGGCTGTAAAGTGACAACAGTGTAAAAAAATTCTTCAAATAAGTGTATTTGCCCCTTCATTGGAGCAGGTAAATAAAATCTGCCCTTAGAATAAGATAATTAAATATTATTCTCTAAAAATGAGATGAGTTTATTTTTCCTATTATAAATTTAAATAAAAAATACACTTATTTCAAGATAAAAAAGTCTTATTTACATAGTTGCAGTAAAAATGTTAAAGGAGAATACGTTTTAATGGTACTGATTGTTTTTTATAACCTGTCTTAAACTGTTGAACTGAATGTGTGGAAAGATTTATTTTTTAAGGATCATTGGTTGTTTGAGTTAGATCTGTCTGCCTTTCGACTAAAGCTGTTTTTTTTTCTTTTATCACTCATTCATATCCACACCTGAGGAACATATGTAGACTCAAAGAGTTGCAGATGTTTTCCCCCCATTATTTCCTTCTAAAATCCAACACAGTTTTTTCTTTAAAGGTGATTGGCTGTGAATGCCCCGTTCACCTTTGAGTCCAGTCCCAGATCCCCACTTCCTGGTGATACTCAGGAAGTGGGAGTGAAGCCAGCTTCCTGTTTAAACATACCACACCTACAGACCCTGACTCAGACTGCTTCTCTGTATACCAGCCGCAGGGATTTGCTTTTCTTTGCTGATCTGGCTCGCATCAGTCTTCCATACAAGCTCCGACAGCCCTCTTCCTTACCCTCCGTCTGCCTTTACATCTGAGTCAGCTCTATAACTGTGTCATGTTTTCATATCGGAACATTTGCATGTGTTTTGAATCTAGCTGGAGCATGTAAACTGTCCTTGCACAACATTGCCGCTCGTCTCTGCAATCCATCCTGCTGCGTGTCGTCTCCTAAAGGAGGGAAGCTCGAATTTCTGGTTTAACGTCTTGCCGCCAGCTGATAAAGCAGGGTATTACCTGCTCAATGGTTTGCATGCCTTTGGGGAAAGTACAGCTGTTTAATTAGCCCAGATTTGAGATTTTTCTGTCTGTTAAGTGAGAAAGATTCAGCGGCGTTTGTCTAGCTTCCAGAACTGCCCGTCTGGGAAGACATAATTGGCTTTTAGAGAAAATGCCAAGAATGTGATGTGGCTGCTGCCTGAGGACGTGTCTGTGGATGAGAGGACAGTTAGGAAGGCGGTTGGTGTCTGGATTTGAGCTATTCTCTGAATGCCTTTTGAAATCCTAAATGATGCCTTTGCTTGTAAAGTGAAAACAAGGGGATTGTGGCGGTTTACAAAGCTTCAGCTATCAGTGACAGAAAAAATCCCAGACATTCCCCAGTCCCTGACGTAGTCCAGTTGTACCTTTAGAAAACGTATATTGATAAATTAATGGTAGAATACTTGGGCTAAAAAGATGCACAAATGGAGCTTTTTAAGATAATTTCAGATATTAGTTAAACCCTGACCTGCTAAAATCTGTAAAAGATATTTCTAACTATAGATTGAATTGGCAGAGATGGTGGTCTGGCTCCTGTGCAGTGTCATGGTAAACTATACGTTTTTTCACCTAATAATGTAGGATTGGCAGTGGTGTTACGATATGCATCACGATACTTGGTAATGATACGATATTATCATGATATTGCAATATCAAAATATAATGCAATATTCCACCCAGCTATTTTCCCAATTTAATGTAAAGATAGAAAACAAAATGCTGTAAATGTTCATCGGAAGATCTTGATCATTCACTTATTTAGGTAGCCATGTTGTTTTGGTGTTTGAGGTAGCCAATGACTGCCTCTACTACAGAAATAGAGCTGCACCGCACAGCAAAAGGGCTCCACTTTGCGATCTAATGGAGCGGCGGTGCAGAAGTAGCATATTTTCTCCCATTCTTGCAAGTAAGTTAAAAAAAAAAAAAATGTATCGACATTAGGAGCTGAATGATCGATATTATATCAGGTGACCAAAAATCACAATATATTCCCAAATTGATTTTATGCACTTTTGGATTGCCTGTGTTTTTCTTGTTGTTTTTTTTTTCGGTTGAAATTTTTCGTAAACAATCTAATAGGGCCTAAGATAAACATCCAGCAACTTCTTATCAATTTCCATATATAAGCTAGTTTTCACCTAAACCTGGTGATCATGGACTTGCCTGGCAGGTTTTTAGTGCTGCAATAAGGTTTCAAATCTGGCTTTTTCCGTCTTAGAGTTTGCACAATGTTTGGCCAAGTTAAGAAATTTCCAGCCATGCATAGAGTTTCTGACCTCAAATTCCCAGGTTTGAGTCTCTGTAGGAAGCTTTGTTTTCTCTCCACTCCCATTCCCTGTCAGATGTCTTTCAAAATAAAGGCCAATCGGCAAAAAAAGGAGTATACAGACATGCTAGCTGTTGTTTCTCATTTGGTGGAGAAAACCCGATTTTAGATCGTTTACATGGGTGGTTCGCAGTCAAGCTGAAAATTTTTTTAGGTTTTTACCAATGATTTGGAAAATGACAGCATAATTGGGTACTGATAATTTTCCATTCTTTAAAGTTTGACATTTAAATAAATATAAGTTTTTTCTGTTTATGCTGAATTGAGATCGTCCATATTTCTGTTGTCATTCCGGATGTTATTTGAAATGGACTTTTTGCCTACATGGGCTGAAAAGCCGCTTAGCAACGAAGAAGCCATGATTCCAAAATTAACATCAGAATTCCAGATTATTCTTTGCTCTGAGTGGAAAAGGCTTTACTTTTTGAGAACTTAAAAACCTTCAATAAGGTCACCCGTTATTCAAGGGGACACAACAAGTATGCTTTTTTTTTTTTTTTATATGTAGATTTTCAGCAAAGATAATTAAAAGTTGGTAATCCTTATTGACCTAAAAGGCTTAGGCTGATTTCATGATAGAAAAAGAAAAGTTATCATTTTTTATTCATTGTATGTAAATATGTGGTATTGGCTGTGATACCTATTTTAAAAAGGAATTGTCAGTTGCTTCTTCAGTATTACCAGAGCAGATGGAAGACATCAGAAAGCAGGACTCAGAAAGAGATCCAGACTAATAAATGATGGGTGTTTTGGGTGCTTAATGAAATTGGTGAAATAAAGGCTCCATTGTGATTTCAGCTTGTTTCACCTAATCTGCATTTTCTTGTGGTATTGCCTTCCAGTGTGTTTGCACAGTAGGTGTTTTCTCATATGGGAATCAGGAGATAAGCCTCTAGCTTTGCACCAGCATTGGCACGAGAACGGGCATTTTTCTGAGTGCACGGGGAGCTCATTAACCAGGCTGCTTTCTTCGGACCTCAGTGGGGCGCCGCAGAACAGCAGCAATCCATTTTAAACCACTTTTACTTTCCCATTAGCCAGTGTGTGTATACGATTGTAAGCTCATAAAAGTATTATTATACGTTCAGTTGGGATGTAGGTGGGTTGTGTTGGTTTTCTGTTCTCTCACCATGCAGCCACTGCAGCACCATGGCAGATATCTAATGCTGAACCATCGTATGGAACAATATTCACCTCTACTTTTATGAAAATCATCTGGATTATCTCCTCTCATCATTGTGGTTTGATTTGTTTATTCAGCGGTTGGCTGTCTTGCTTTTTCAATGTTTTTACTTTCTCCTTGTGACCTTTTCTCTGCCTCCTCTTCCTCCCCCTTCATGGTTTTCTATATTTCATTCTGTCATTGTGCCCTTTCCCTGCCCCTCCTTGTTTACCTACTTCTGTACTTGTGTAATTCTAGAATCCTCTTTTGTTCCTTTTCTTCCTTCCTTAAATTGTGTCCGTCCTTGCTTCCTTCCTTGCTTGCTTGCTTCCTTCCTTCCTAGCTACCTTCCTTTCTTGCTTCCTTCCTTCCTTGCTTGCTTCCTTCCTTGCTTGCTTGCTTGCTTCCTTTCTTCCTTTCTTACTTGCTTGCTTCCTTGCTACCTTCCTTCCTCGTTTGCTTCCTTCCTTCCTCGTTTGCTTCCTTCCTTCCTTGGTTGCTTGCTTGCTTCCTTTTCTTCTTCCTTGCTTGCTTCCTTCCTTCCTTCCTTCCTTGCTTGCTTCCTTGCTTCCTTCCGTGCTTCCTTCCTTCCTTGCTTGCTTCCTCGTCTTCTTCCTTGCTTGCTTCCTTGCTTCCTTCCGTGCTTCCTTCCTTCCTTGCTTGCTTCCTCGTCTTCTTCCTTCCTTCCTTCCTTCCTTTCTTCCTTGCTTCCTTCTTTTTCTTCCTTGCTTGCTTCCTTGCTACCTTCCTTCCTTGCTTCCTTCCTTGCTTGCTTC